AACCTACACAGAACTTTTGCTCAACGGTTGCCATTAATTTGATTTTAATTAATTTTTATAATGAAATGTTTTAGAATGTTGGACTATTTAATTGTTTGATTATTTATTTGTTGTTAGCCGCCCTGAGCCTGGCTTTGGCTGGGGAGGGCGGGATATAAATAAAATTTATTATTATTATTATTATTATTATACTGTGGTCTGACATTGTAATGAGTTACCTGTAGCTAAAGAAAACCATGCTTCTACAAGTTATGAATGTAACATAAAACTGTAGCTTGTTCTAAAGTGAAAGCAGAAGCTTTATCCCCCATCCTCTCACACATAACGTAGAGATAAGTAGGACTGGAAAAACTCACTGTGGCTTTTTCACAGTCATTCTAAATCATGGTTATATCATCTGAATGAAGGCTGTGGATGTTTTATCCCCCTCACAATGTGGAATATCTTTGTTCTGAAAAATGATTTCTCTGAATGATGAAAGTTGGGGTTCTGCCATTATCATGTAAGAAATGTTCACACCTGAAGCAAAAGTTAGAAAAAGAACACCCTACTCCCTTTAGGCATGCTACTTTGGTGATATTAAAATGAAAATTGAAGGAAGAAAAATGATGTCTCATCTCAATAATTGCTTTGTTTCACATTATCTTGTGGTAAGGCTTGCCCTAGGTTCCAGAGATCACAGATATGGCATCTGACTATTAATTAACTGAATCAGTATTTATCAGTAAGCTGCTTCAAAGCTCTTAGCCAGTCCCACACATTATGTAATTTCCAAGCCACTACCTACTATAATAGTGGCAAATTTGTAATATATAGCCTGATCTTAGTGTCAACAAGACACGAAGCTGACTTTGTATACATATCTACATATATATGATTTTATCATGCAAATCCACATGTGGGTGGTGGCAGCTGAATGTTTTCCATCCCCACTTCCTTCTGCTCCATCACCATAGGCATCACAATCTCGCTCATTTACCAGGATGGGCAAAATATGAGTTTGGCTGATGAACCATAACAAATTAAGGCACACACCCCTATTGCTGTTAAAACTATACCTACTGTACATACACACCTTCCCCTTTATACATGAACAAGGCAGTCATTGCAGTTAAAAATCAGCCATTACATCTAGTTGAATCCTCAGCCAGAGTTCCTTAGAACAAAAGCTGCAAGCTTTATTTATTTTTTAATTGTTTAAAATGTAGTTAGGTATTTATACCCTGCTCTTCAAAAGAAATAACTCTTTGGAGGAAAGCAAACCATGTGAACAAGTTTGAAGTAATTTACACAGTTTTTAGTAAGCAGGACATGGCTGGATAATACAATTCCATCCTTGGTTAAGGTGATTTCCTGTGGTTCTATTAACAGCCTAATACTAAGAGCTACCAAGCTACAGATACAAAATACATCTAATGGAGAGGGTTTCTTTAAAACGCAAATCAAGAGTTCACATTTTTTTCCTTTAATGGTAATCTGAATCCCCATCTGAACTGGAAGTAAAGCTCATGCACTAGAACAAGAGATAGAAAACTGTCACCAGTGGGAAAGGGACTCCCTGTGCTGCCTCCTTTCACTTCTCTACAGAGGAATACTTGATGCATTGTGAGCACATTAATAAACAGCAGCATTTACTCTGCAGTTTCACTCCTAGGAGACAGCTCTGTAATTTGCTGCTGTCAATAATATATTAATCACAAGGGGGTTGTAATGACATTTCACATTTGGCACAATATTTTCTTAAAACTGATTTGGGAGAAGGGATTGTGTTAGAGGCAGAGTCAAATGATGGCAACAGACAGCTTATCTAAAACATCCCAATTTTTGCACTACATGAGTCACAACAAAGAAGTGAGAAGGGGAAACTAACATTGTAAAACAAAAAGAGTGCCTTCATCAGTGCCATTGTTACATATATTAATCCTTCACAGAGTATGCTTAGTTCCACAGGATGGGACAGGGCCAATCTACAATACTTTACTTGTTTACTCTGTTTTGTGCTGAACTGACTGATACAATATGCAGCTGATCTACCATGTCTGTGGAGAAAACATCTGGGAACTGTGTTTCATTCTGCATTGTTAAAGAATTCAGATTCAACAGTGAACAAAAAGGTGATTCTCATAAACACAACACTGAATTCCACAACAGAGAGGCTAAGTGGATCGTGTCATACCTTGTATCATGACTCAGGGCCCTGGCCCTTAATCCTCATGGATACTGAGGACATGTTGGACCAGGAAGTAATTTGTCCTCAGAACCAGCCTTTGACATCTCCACCTGATATGGGGTTACAACATTAGAGGACCCTATGACACCAGTGCCTTTCTAAGGCTGCCACAATGCTATCCTCAGAATGCAAGGACTCCAGGTTGGAGATCATAGTAGAAACATGCCCTCCTCTATGCCACAGAACCCACCATTTCTAAAATAGACTAGATCTGCTTATCAGCTTAGCTGCTCAGTGGAACCACAGTCCTATTTGAGGTTCAGTCGGGGTTTGCTATACACAGAAGCCACATTCAGCCCTGCTTTGTCTAACTTCCAGCCTGGGCTCTACTCACTTATCTAGTGTGCTACCCACCTTGCTTGTTTGTCTTGTGAACTTTGACCTTCGGATTTGCCTGATCTTGCCTGTTAGAATGTAGCCTTTGCTTGACCCAACTTTGTTTCCAAGATCTGAAATTAGTCCTAGTAGGACAAGGCAAATGAGCTTGGGAAGCCAATCTGGTGCTCCTTCCAGTGCATTTGTACCCTACTGCCTTTCCCTTTCCCTCCCCCTTTGGTTAGCCGCAAAATCACAAAAGCCTCTATTTTACTAATCCTGTCTACAAGTATTGCCACATATACATTGTTTACAATGCAAACTGGAATGTTTTTAATCTTGGTGAATCAGTGCATAGTGTATGAGTGACAATATATTTGTGATTTGATTTTAATTTATAAACACTGACAATGCTAACTTACACATTTTATTTGTGTTTTTTAATGTTTAAAGGAAATACCTCCCTGTTTGAAATTTTATATCCTATATCTTAGATCATAATGTCAATATCAAAGATAGCTAGGCACATGCTGGCTGCATGGGATGAGGTTAAGAACACAACAAGCAGGAAGAAAGGTTAAAGGCAAAACAGGCAACACATGCTTCAAATCCAAACACGGGATGGAGTCCAAATAACAGTGATGAGAGCAATTATCTTCCGGCTTATACTCTTTTCACTCCAACTCCACACCTGCCTATGGTCCTGTCCTTACAATCCCTACAACTTAGGGTTTCCTCTTTTTTTTAGGATGCAATATTCCCCCCCCCCCGAAATGTATCTGTGTGTGTTGTGATCCAAATTTAGGATTTCATAAAGATGAGTACCTCTGCCACTGATAGAAGCACTGACCTGAGAGAGAGGGCATTCTTTGGCTAACGTGCTCTGATTCATCTCTTTGAGCAACTCCTTTAAGGCATTGCGGACTGTGGCATGGTTCCACTGCTCTGCTGGCAAGTCTTCCAGCTTTGAACAACTGTGAAAACAGAGAACAGAAGACTAAAACAGATGGAAAACATCACCTGCAAGGATCGCTGCTCTTTACGTGCAAGAGCTATAAAGCTCTGTGACGCAAGACATAAGTTAGAATCCCATGCTTGTGTCTTTCAGGTTTTTAATGTGAGCATTCCCTCCCATGGTGTAGCTATTTCCTCCAGCTACATTCTGAACTGAATAGGATTGAGCAAAGATAACTGAATGCAGGACTGTAGCCTGAACTTGGAACAATTACTTATCACATTCCCTACCTCTGATTGAAACTAGCTCTCTGCCATTGTGCTTTCAGCAAAAGGCAACATGACTCAAGTTTTACAGTCCAAATTCTAGCTCTGAATTTCTGAATAAGTCTAAGAAACATAAAAAAGGATTTATTTGATTGATATAATGTGCTAAGTAGTTGATCAGGCCTGGAGGAACTACTAAACTGGGAACTGCTTAGAGGAAAAGCTCTTTAAATGATTGACTGAGCTTGTCTGTACTCCAATATCATATCAAAACAGTTAGAATATTGGCCAGGAAGAGCTGCCAGGTGAGCCACTCTTCCTGCATTTTGTTTTGCATTTCAACAAAAGCCCAGAAATTAATGAAGACAGGATGTGCTAATCTCAGTAGTAATGCTGTGATCGGCAGAGCAGCTCAGAGGAGGGCAGATGCTCAGAAATACCCACCTTTGTAATTGAATTTTCAATGTCACAACATGATAGACATCTTGTAACATGTCAGCAACTGTAGCATCAGGTGTATCTGTTACATAACTGAGTGGAAGAGGATTCCACTTCCCGAGTTTGATTATACCTGAAATGAAAGAATGGAACACACAAATGAATGTATATTTGCAGTTTACCTAGTCATCCAATTATTTGTTCAGGGAGTTGAGGCTTACTACTATATTGGGCTAGTTTGCATATAATGCTAACTATGCATGAGCTAGAGCAAGCCAGAGTGAAGCCCTGGGCTCGGGCACCAGCTTCCCCCTCTCCTGCCTGGTCAAGAGAAATTTAGTTAATTAGTTAGCTAGTTAGTTAATCTGTATACCACTCTTCATGTGTAGATCCACAGATCCCTGCAATGTTCACTTCCATTTTCAAAGTATCCTGGCCTGTCATTATAAACAAACCAAAGATTAAAGTTTCAAACAAAATCTGGCTAGTTAAACAAGCAAATTTCAAAAGCCATGGTTTGTAGATGGCTTGTTTAGAAACTGGCCTAAGTTTATGCTAAACCACAGTCTCTAGTTCGTATGCAATGCTAAGCCAGGATACTTCGAAACTGAAAGTAAATGCTACAGACATCTTTCTTCCCCAGCCATGTGGGACAAAGAGGGAAGGGAAAATACATGAGCCCAAGATTTTGATTACGCTAGTTCTAGCTCATACACATAACAGTGTGTTATCCATGAGCCTGTCCATAGAAGTTTCCTTCTTCCAATTAGTTACAGACCTTACTCCACACATCTCGCTTACCCACTTAGGTCTGGAGAGTCTAACGTGTCTAAAGTGATATCCTAATTTTTCCTCTTCAAGAAATTGGGATATCACTCTAGACATGTTAGATTCTCTAGACTTAAGTGGGTAAAAGAAAAAAAGAAAAATGTGTGTATAACAATGCCATCAGAAACATCTACAAACTCGAGTACTGGTCCCTGCTGCTCCAGTACCAATTCTGCTTCATGCCTCTGTTAATCAGAGACAGACCAGTGCAAGCAGGGAGCAGTAGCCCTCCTTATTCAACCCGATAGCAGTCAATCTGCCTCACAACCAGAAAAAAACTGAAAGCATCCCAGTTGTGATGGCCAGCACTAAGATTCTGGGGAGAGATCTGTAAAATGTTAATAGTTCAGGAATGTTTTTACTCGCTCCTGTATAAAACTGGAACAAAAGGTTGCTAATTATGACATTTCAGAAACAACAAAATTAAGAAGAACAAAACTGGGATTTAGTTCAGTACATTCCATTGACACAGAAGGCTAAATTAACAGACACCTCATAACAAAATGCTTTGGAATAAACTCCTTGGTATTCGAGGGTCAAAACACTCCTGGAAGGACTGCCAAGGAGAAGAAAAACAAGTATCTCTTGCTTGACATAAAGTGTTTAAAACAGGCATAAAGAGAACAAAACATTAAAATCATGCCACTGTTCCAGTACTAAGGTTTCACAATCTGGTGCTGAATATGCTATAGTATAAATAGTGCCTAGACTCTGATCCTGCACAATAACACACAAAACTCATTCACAATACCGTATGTCTTCTGAGCTGGCTCTTTATACCATATTCCATTTGCCAACATAAAGCCTGCTTTTCTTAAAGGGCATCATTTCCTAGCACAGAACTTATTCACATACAGGTGAAAGAATCCTCAAACTGGCTTTTAGCTTCTGTTCCTACCCACCACCCAAAAAACAGCCAGCACAGTGCCACTTGCAAATGTTCCCTATTGACCTACTTTGAGGACCAAAAAAAAGTGATACAAGAGCCCTTTCTACTTCTATTAAACACTTGTCACTGAGAACCCTCCAGAGTTTTCATACCTAATTTTCCCAAGTACCGTATTTTTCGTCCCATAGGACGCACCTAGTTTTTTGGGGGGGAAATAAAGGGAAAAATTTTCCCTTTATTTCCCCCCCAAAACCAGGTCGGGGAACAGCGGGATGGCAGCGCTGCACCTCCCCGCTGTCCCCCGAGCTTGTGGGGCTGGCCGATGTCTGCCCGGCACGAGGGGCACTCTGTTTCAGGGCGCCCTGTGCGCCGGGCGGCAGGCTGCTATCCACAGCCTGGGGAGCCCTGCGGGAACTCCCGCGGGCTCCCCAGGCTTGCTGATAGCTTCCTGAAGCCTGGAGAGTGAGAGGGGTCGGTGCGCACCGACCCCTCTGGCTCTCCAAGCTTCAGCGAAAGCCTGTATCCGCCCCATAGGACGCACACAGATTTCCCCTTCATTTTTGGAGGGGAAAAAGTGCATCCTATAGGGCGAAAAATACGGTACATTGTTTACACTATGAGACTGAGGAAGATCTGCCAAGCAAAACAGAAAGCCATCTTGGTGAGTATGGACATGTGGTCTGTTCTGTACATGTTAAAGGTCTGGACTACAGACAACTATAGCATTTTCATAACTCAACATGACTATGGAAGAAAGTCCTTTGTATCTTGTTAGGGCAGTAAGAAATACATAAAACACAACTGTAATAATGTAATATGTGTATATGCTTCATTTATGACTGCTAAGGGTGTATACTATTATTATTATTATCATCATTCATTTCATTCCTATACTGCCTTAAATTTTTAAGAAAAACATCTCAACGTGGTTCACAACCTACACTGAAACATCAAATAAAACAACCCAGAATAAAACTTTACTGAAGAAAGTAAAATACGAAGTATATGTTCAAAGCAACATAATTAGCAGGGAGCTAAAATATTATCTTAAAGATTTGAAAATAAAGCATTACTAAAGAGGTCAGCTACGGAATGCACATTTAGTGCAGCAAAGTTAACCAAAAAAATCATCTTAAAGATTTCAAAAGAAAACATTACTAAAGAAAGTCAAATATAAAATGCACATTTAAAATAGCATAATTAGCAAAAGAATAAAATATTATCCTAAGCGTAGATTACAGAGTACTTTCTTATTCTAGTAGGTAATAATCAAGCAAGATGAATATATTTTAATAAAGATGAATGTTGGGGGGGGGGGGAGGGAAATGGACCTGACCGAAGATCAAGAAATTATGGTATTGTCTGACACCTATCTAACGATCCCTTAGCAACACACTTGGATATCTTTACCTAGTAAAGATCTTTTAAAGATGTAGCCACCCTCAACTGGTGCATGGCCAACAAGAATATGAAGCATAGTAGATGAAGGGCCCTGCATAAGGAGCAGGGAAGAGAGGATCTCCAGAATGGGATGCTGGGGAAAGAGGGGTAAGCTCCCAGTTAAGAGCTGGGAGGGTTCACTCTTTTGTGTGGGGAATAAGAGTTAAGATATAATTGTGATAGAGGACCTTGTATTTATTTTATTACTTCTTTTTATTTTCTTCTTGCTTCTTATTTATTTTCTCCATATTAGTTTGTCTTTTACAGTATTGTACTTTATTTTGAAAACTTTTCATCAAAAAATATTTTTTAAAAAAGAATATGGGACATAGCCTATACAACCAAATTAATAAATAGGATAGGACAAGTGCATAGATAAATTGAAGGTTTCAATTTCTCATTGGAATTATAAAGTTCAGCTTGAAATAATCCCTATACTTTACTGGGTAAAATATAGGTTTGATCTTGACTTTTAACAGGACAGAAGAAACAATAACATATTCTGTAATAAAAGTGTGCACTACATTTAAAATGAGATAGAACATATCTATGCACTTGTTACATTATATATGTCAACTAATTGACTTCCTAATTATTCAAGCTATTTTACTTTTTATGTTTGCTAGTTTGCTACAGTAAGCAACACAATATTTTAAAAAGTTGTACAAAGAATCATAAAACTGTGTAGTGCTGGAAGACACCTGACTTCCTATAAAGTTTAAAGCAACAACACTGGGGGAGAAACAAGCAGTGAAAGTTTCAGAACTAAGAGCTGTTTTTTGAAATTAGCACAAAAGCAATGCAGAAAACATAATGCTAGTTTCTGTTGCTACCAGTGCTTTTCCTTTTCTTCCTTACAAATGAAGAAGAAATTGTATTGGCTAACAGTACAGAAACACAGGTGTTACCATAACGCTCAGTGCTTTTTGCGCATTAACACCTGCTCCAAGTCCTCTCTCTTTGTTACAGTACTGAAAATGCATACTATTCCTTCAGCCAGTGCTATGTGATTAGTGATTAGCTCACTGATTTTCAGTTCTGGTTTACAGGCTTTACTTGCATATCTTTTTAGGTATTTGACAGACCTTTCAAGGACTCACAAGAAGAGCGAGAAAAAATATGAGAGTTAGGAATGTTTTTCCCTCCACCCTATAACCTTTTCAGGCACAAAAAAACCTTGCTTTTGAAATGAAAGAGGCAGTCATCAACAGGAGGCCTCACCTGCTCGAGTCAGAAAAGGACTTGCTAGTCCTCTTCTTTACTAGAAGTGATGCTTCTAAAACCACTCATCATAGGTTTCCTGTATCATGGGACAATAGTTTACTTGGCCCTGGAAGGCTAAGGAAAGTACAAATCCATGCTCTCTGGCAGGAAATCATGTTCCTGAACATGGGGATCTCCAGTTAAGCAGAGAGCTGTGAAGGCTTTGCCCATACCTAATAAGCCCTTCTTCTTACTAGGGAACCCCTCCACCTCTCCATTGTAAGACTTTTTAGTACTTTTGGAGTGGGCAAGGAACTGGCAAGAACAGCAGCAAATTCCATTGCAAGGAAGACGAACTCCAAGTCACCAGGCACAACTTGCAATGGAGAGAGGCCGTTTCAACTTGAGGTGTTCATATTCCAAACTCCTTTCATTCAAACTTTACTCCTATCACTACATGTGATACGGTGTGTGTGCGTGCTTGCATATTTTGGTCCAAATGCATAACTAACCTGTAAGAATTACAAAAAAGCTAGCCTGAAAGCTGGTTTTCAGCCAGTCTGCTATACGCTGTTTCAGTTGAGATACCCAGATTGTGTAGCTCCCTTCCTCATGCGACCTGATTTGCCTCATCTTTACTGAGATTCTAGCATGCTGTAAATACCTTTCTGTTTTGCAAGCCTTTTGATCGAATTCATTTTCTGCCATTCTCTGTAGATCCGATTAATGAACAGTATACTGTGATTCTCCATTCTGGATTTATTTTGCTTACACATTATTTTTCAAATTTTGTGACTAGCTGCCTCTGAGGTTTCTTATTGAAAATCAGGGTACAAATATTTTAATTAAATAAATACAAATAAAATACCTGCTTTCATGACCTATATTAAGAAAAGGTCTGAAATTAGAATAGTAGTATCAGCATACTCAAGCAACAGATACAAGTTTATCAATGAATTTCAAATACTTCTTAATCAGCACAGGCCACTCATTACTGCAAATGATTCTCATAAAATAGCAGATGATCGCATGTCTTCATTCTAAGACTTTATCTTAGCAGAAGAATATACAAGTGATATTTTAGCGTATCTTGCCATTTCAAATTTGAAAGATAAGCAGATTGTATCCTGCTGTTGTACAAGTTTAGGCTAGACTACTCTGTTTTAAACTTTTGCTTAAGTCATAGTAGTACACTTCATTTTAAGTGTTCCCATTGATTATGTTGTTGTGTTTCCCTTGCAAAAGTACCATACATGTGAAGGTTCTTAAGATTAATATTAAATTCTCTTTGGGGAACTAACGTTTGAATGTGTTTGCTGTAAAATGGAATTCATAAATAAATAAATAACATAAATGTGGTTCAGTAAGTGCAGCATTCAATTACATGGCTCTAGATACGCTACAAAAGAAGATTATGCTTTCTGTAATAACCTGAACACCCCAAAAGGTGTTGTTGCTTCTATAAATAATGTAGAAAGGATACTCTGTAGTTGATCTCCTTTGTAAGGTTTTATTTTGACATCTTTTAAGATAATACTCTTATGCCAGCTTCTC